AGAGCTGCCAGCGCTGGACGTGGCCTTTGCCTGGGCACAAACAGCTCCTCCTTTAGCAGAGGGACAGGGAGCTGGGTGCTCGGGGAGCCACCTCGGGGAAAGGGATTTGCCCGCAGCCCCTCAGCTTCCTCCCCCCGCAACACGCTCCGTCCTCTCCTCCACTTTCCCGTGCTTCCCGGGAGGGTGACTCTTCCAGCAGGAGGGAGGCCTCCTCCTCACCAGGTATTGCCTGCTCTGCCCACTTGTTTGTTCTGTTTTGGTGGGGTTTTTTTGGACTACTTCCAGTCGAAGAGGGAAATGTTAGATAACGGAGCCCTTTGGGCGGGGGAAGACAGTCGGGGAGGCTACGCAGGGACCTGGCACGAACCAGCTCTGTCAGCTCAGGCAGGGAGGGGTTTAAGCCACAGGCAGAGGCAGCTGCGCAGTGTGAGTGCGGTGGCTGTCACGGGGGGGTGGGGGATGAGCAGGGAGGCGCGGGGAAAAAAAAACCCCGGCCCCGGGGGAGCCAGGGGCCTGCCAAAGCTCCTCTTCTCACTGCTTCCCTCCTCCCCGCACAGAGAGGCAGCGGGCTCCACAGCTTCCTGCAGGGAATGAGGATTGCAGACTTCCTTGGGTTTGGGGAGAAGCAAGGGCATTGCTCTGCACGTAGGTGCTGCCAGTGGAGGATACTACTGTTGGTGGCTTATAGGGTGGGTATAAGCTGCCGTCCTTTAGGAGGTGTTTCTCATGCATGCATAGGGGAACACCTATCTGAAAGAGGAGCTGAGGCCTCCCTGAGAGCCCTGGGGTCTCCTGTGATGGCTCAGACACCACCTGCTCTCTGGCAGTGCTGCTGTATGTGCAGAAAGGCTGAGGGGATCACAAGGAGCCTCCAGAGTCCTTTGTTCAGTGCAGAGAGAGCACCCTCACCTTCCTCCTGTGACAGATCCCAAATCTACATCTCACAGAGCAGCCCAAATGGCAGAAGAGAGACCAGGCCAGAATCAAAAGGCCAAAACTGGGGCCACCTCCTTAGCAAACTCTCAAGAATGGCTCAAGCTTCATGAGCATCTGCAACTACCTTTAGCAAAAAGCCTGGCAAAACCCCACTCTCGCGTAAGGCGAAGGGATGCAACACTGAGGGAGCTTGTAAACTGGAGAAGTGAATAAGCAAAAGTGTGATCTGCAAAAAAAAAGGAAGGAATAAAGTGCTCCACGACAGGCATGGAGAGTGCTGGTGGGTGCAGCAGCCCTGGTGGATAAGTAGCCTGCTCCAGTAGTTCAGAAAGGCTGGAGCCTTTGCTCTGTGGTATTGTAAGCTTCAGGAGATCCAAAGCAATGTTTCAGTGCTTAGATACAGTGAGAGTTAGTAAAAAAAACCCAACCCCTACAGGGCTTCAAATGTAATGTTTTGATTTTCTTTAGTAACTTCCTGTTAACCCATTTTCTGGTCAACAGTTCAATTGGGCTTTTTCAGCTGCTTATTTGCGTGTGTAAATATGCTTTGCTTGGTAGGTCAGCCGGGTTGCGACACAAGCTAAGAGTGACCAGCCTGACAGAGAAGTACACATGTGGAGCTGGGTCATAGGAGGAAAAGGGTATGGTGGGCCCTGCCTGTAATGCAGTGATGCCAAAGCGAGAGCATTTGTGCAGCTCTTCCAGCCGAGGGACGCCAGTTTCCCAGGGTCTGTCACAGTCCGGAGGGACCATGGGCCAAGAGGCTGCAGCTGGCAGTGGGTGTCCATGTTTTTCTGTGTGTAGTAGAATCACAGAATTGTTTGGAAGAGACCTTAAAGATCATCTTTCCAGTTCCAACCCTCCTGCCACAGGCAGGGATGCATTTCTCTAGACCAGGTTGCTCCAAGCCCTGTCCAACCTGCCCTTGAACACTGCCAGGGATGGGGCAGCCACAGCTTCTCTGGGCAACCTGTGCCAGCGTCTCACCACCATCACAGTAAAGAACTTCTTCCTAATGTTTAATCTCAAACTACATTCTGTCAGTTTAAAGTCATTCCCCCTTGCCTTATCCCTACATGCTCTTGTGTTAAAGGTCCCTTTCCGGATTTCTTGTGTGTGCATGCATGTGTGCTGTTGACAAGTGTATTTTATCTGTATTGATCATGTTATCCACTTCTAGAATGATGTTAAGGCTGAAGGTTAGTGGCACTCAGTGGTTATACACAGCTATGTGAAGCAAAAAAGAGTGAGTACCCCCTTGCATCACAGGAGGCTGACGTTGTCTCCTCAGTTGCGGGAGTTGGGACATTAAGACACATCACAAAGTATCTCAATTTAAAAAAAGATAATTCATTCTGGGAGAAGCAGGAAGGCAGCAGGGGCATGAAGCCCATGTCAGGCAGCTGCTGTCCTCTTTGCTGGGGAGTTACAGCTCCAGGTGGCTTTGTCTGGCTTCTGTCCCATTCTGACACTAAGAAAGGACAGAGATTAACAGTACCTGACATCATTTGCCTCCCTCCCCAACACCTACTGCAACTGGTTTGCCCTTTAAATGTTAATTTTTGCAACCCCCTCAGCACAAGCCAGTCTGAGGGGGCAAGGAGTGTCACCCTCACTGGCACTAAACTTCCCTGCCACATCAGGTTAACACAGTTTCTCCTCCTGTGCCCTACCAGCAAGGTGCAGGGCTCCCAGCTGAAGCAGGCTGTGCTGCTAGGACAGTCCTGCAGTCACAGTGGAGTCAGTGGCTCTGCAAAGCCCAGGCTGTGCTTGCTGATACAAGCTGTGCATGGCCTCTGCTTTGCACCTGGTTATTTTTTGGCACATTAACACGTAGGGCTTGATGTGCTCCTGGGCTGCAGCAGTAAGTGCTTGGAAAACAGTGCATTCAGCAGGTGCCCATCACAGCCTTCTGAGCCATTCCTGCAGGCTGCAGCACCACCAGCAGCCCCTCTTCACCCTCACTGGCCTTTGCAACATCCAGATCAGTGGATATTGAAAATCCCATCCGAACTGGGAAAACCTGTGAAACCTGACCCTCCGCCGAGCTGCAGCTCCCCTGTCTTCCCCAGCAACAGGGAGGTCAGTCAGGAAATTCAATCTCCATCATGGTTCAAGGGCTTCAGAGTATGAGAGGGTGAGGGACAACCAAGAGCACATCTCTGGCAGATGCATAATGTACCCATCATGTATGTTCCAGGGGCGGCTGAAAAAGCAGGACTGTGGTCATCCATGGACTGCTGGGAGGCTCGCTGGGCACGCTAAGAGCCGCAAGCCATTTCCACAGCTGCCAGTGCTGAGTGAGAAAGTTTGTTAATAAAATGTGTTTAGAGACCTCTCTCAGAACCAATTTTCCTAAGTAATTTTAGCATTATTAACCCTCCCCCCCCATTTCTTGTTACTAATATCTCCCTTCCTCTTCTTCCTCTTCCCCTTTCCCTTCCCCTTCCCTTGCGCTTGCCCCGTCACTTTTTCAGATGGGGTTTGTGGGTGGCAGCCATGCAGGTCAGCGGTTCCGGGT